TATATATATATATATATATATATCATGTCTGTGCTGAAGTCCTTCGCGTCCACGTTCCAGGACGCCTTCGAAGATTTCGAGGGGCGGGCCACCGTCGTCTCGAACAGCAGCAAGAGCTGTTCCGACGCCAAGGCCTTCGAGCCCTGCGCCGCCATCGAGGTGGCCATCGCGCGCTCGGTTGAGCGCTGGCCCAGCGCAGGAGTGCACGGCAACCTCGATAACATTGCGACGTGTTTCTCGCAAAGCGGTGCCATCGTCGAACGGGGCATGTAGACCCACCGCGGGGGCGCCGACGCCAACGCTGGGCGCCCTCGCCGAAGCGCCTGCCGGGGCTCTCGAGGCAGCTCCTGAGGCGAAGAGGCCGTGGGCCCCAACAGGGCGAAGCGCAGGCCGATGGCCTTGGCCCACAGTATCAGGAATCCGAGGACCACTTAGGCGAGGACGCCGTCGACGAGGCGGTAAAATTCTTTACGCTTCGCGTATCCCCACCAGCCCATCTCACAGCAGCAACTCTTGCGAAGCATGCCGACAGTCGTGTTTTTCAGGCGTGTGTCCGCTTGGCCCCGCATATCTCCCCTGTTCCTCCTTCCTCCCGCCTCCTTGTACATCCTCCTGGTGGGGGGAGCGGGAGAAGGACGAGGCGGAGGAGGAGGGAGAGAAAGCGCTCCTCGTGGTTTGAGTCGTTTGGGGTTTCTCGTCCTGGTGTGAGTCGTTCGGGCCCTTCTTCCTGGTGTGAGTCGTTCGGGCTCTTCGTGGTGTGAGTCGTTCGGGCTCTTAGTCCTGGTGTGAGTCGTTCGGGCTTCTCGTGGTGTGAGTTGTTCGGGCCCCTCATCCTGGTGTGAGTCGTTCGGGTCCCTCCTCCTGGTGTGACTCGTTCGGGCTCCTCGTGGTGTGAGTCGTTCGGGGCCCGCGTCGTGGTGTGAGTCGTTCGGGCTCCTCGTGTTGTGAGTCGTTCGGGCGCCTCGTCCTGGTGTGAGTCGTTCGGGCCCTCCTTGTGGTGTGAGTCGTTCGGGCTCTTCGTGGTGTGAGTCGTTCGGGCCCCTCGCCCTGGTGTGAGTCGTTCGGGCTCCTCGTGGGGCCTCTTGGGGGCCTCTTGGAGCCTCTTGGGGCCTCTTGGGGGCCTCTTGGGGGCCTCTTGGGGGCCTCTGGGGGGCCTCTTGGGGGCCTCTTGAGGCCTCTTGGGGGCCTCTTGGGGGCCTCTTGGGGGCCTCTTGGGGCCTCTTGGGGGCCTCTGGGGGGCCTCTTGGAGGCCTCTTGGGAGCCTCCTGGGGGCCTCTTGGGGCCATCTTGGAGCGCCGCGAGATGCTGGGCGGGGCCTGGCCGTGGTGATCGTAGACCGTCGCTTCCACTGCCGTCGCCCATGACGCCAAGCGGCCGCTCACGGCTGTCACGTGGCGACTGCCTACGTGGAAGGCCACCCTCCAGTCACAATCCGCAGAAACAAAACCAACTTGGGCGCGATGCTCGAGCCAAGATGAGGACGGAATGTGGAAGGAAGGGGCGGCAGTGGCACCGGCAGGGGTCGCCGTGTGAGGCTCCGCGGGGTCGTGAAACCTACCTGGTTCGGTTCGCCATTGGGCTGGTGGCGCCGAGGCCTCTCCAAGGGCTGCTTGGGATGCTGGGGGGGGGTGCACTAAGCTAGCAAGGTCTAAGCGAACGGGCTGTCCTCCAGTATGCACTGCCGCCGACAAGGAGCTAGCGGGGGACTGCGCGCTATCGCGAGCCTCGAAGTTGCCCTCGCTAGCCCAGGGGTCCTCCTCTTTCTCCAGCCACCCAAAATCAGAAAAAGTCGTGGGGCGAAACCTGTTTAGGGGTGAGACGGGGACGCCGCAACCTGACCAGGC